GAAAGCATCGCCACTTTCGAAAGCTGCTGGCGGGGCTGGCATAGTGGGCACTCGCCGCAAATGCCGATTAATTAGACCTCGCCATCCCTGCGGGGCTGCGACCCGCGAAGCTGTCGCTACTTTTGAAGGCCGCTGGAGGGGCCAGCGAATTGGGCACTCGCCGCAAATCCAAAATAGAGCTCGCCATCCCTGGGGGCGGGGGCAACGTAGTGGGTACTCACCGCAGATCCAGAATAGACCTTGCCATCCTTGCCGTCTGCGAAACTGTCCTGGGAGGGCCAGCAGCGCGGGCACTCGCCGCAGATACAGAATAGATCTCGCCATCCCTGGGGGACTGCGATCTGCGGAACTCGCGGGGGGGGGGACATCATAGTGGGGGCTCGCCGCAGATCCAGAGTAGACCTCGCTATTTCTGGGGGGCGGCGATCTGCGAAACTGCCGCCACTTTCGAGGGCTGCTGGGGGGTCTGGCAACGTGCGTACTTGCCACAGATCCAGATTGGACCTCGCCATCCCTGGGGGGCTGCGATCTGCGAAACTGTCGCCACTTTCGAGGGCCACTGGAGGGGCCAGCGCATTGGGCACTCGCCGCAAATCCAAAGTAGAACGCGCCATCGATGGGGGGCCTTGGCCGGCGACGCTGTAGCTACTTTCGAGGGCGGCTCGCGTGCGCTTGCCCATCGGTTTGTGATTTCGCTGCCGCTCTTCGAGGCTGCCCATCGGACCCTCTGATCACTCCCGACTCTAACCATGAACAAGGCTCGCGCGCCCTTGCCCTTCGGATTGTGATATCGCTGCCGCCCTTCGAGGTTTCCCATCGGGCCCTCTGATCACTCCGGACTCTGCACCACGAGCAAGATTCGCGAGCGCTTTACCATGGGACTGTGATATTGCTACCGCCATGGAGGTTGCTTATCGGGCCCTCTGATCACTCCTGACTCTTGAGCACGAGCAAGGCGAACCGACTTTGGGGGGTTGCGATCTGCGAAACTATCGCCACGTTCGAGGGCTACTGGGGGGGGGGGCCCAACATAATGCGGTGCTATTCAGATCAGACTAGGCCTCGCCATCTCAGGGGGGCTGCGAACTGCGAAAACGTTGCCACTTCCAAGGGCTGCTGGGAGGTGCAGCTTCATGCGGCGCTACGCAGATCAGAGCGAAACCTCGCCATCCCCGCGGGGCTACGATCTGCGAAACTGTCGCCACTTTCGAGGACTGATGAGAGGCCAGTTTAGTACGGTGCTACGCGGATCAGAGCGAAACATCGCCATCCCTGGTGAGCTGCGAATTGCCATATTGTCGCCACTTTCGAGAGCTGCCAGGGGGTCCAGCTTAGTGCGGTGCTACGCGGATCAGAGCGGGACCTCGGCATCCCTGGGAGGCTGCGCTCTGCGACACTGTCGCCGCTCTCGAGGGCTGCTGGGCAAAGGGGACCAGCTCAGTGTCCTGCGACTCGTGCAGTTTGCGAGCCTTCCAAGTGTCGTTCGCAGAACCATATACCTCCTTGCCACGCTATCAAAGTATAGAACGTATGCCCAACTATTATGGCCATGAATTGCGCAAGGATTGGGTACGTTGTCAGGGTAAATCTTTGCATCTTCTTGTGAAGCCACAAATTTGTTGCAAAATGTCCCGTTGTCATGGTAAACTTCTGCGGCCCCGCGGCGAGATGTAATTCATGATGTTCACGAACGTCTATATCGCTAACGTTGTGTGGCTTTACTGAATGACCGTAATGATGTTGGCTGTCTTCTTGTACTTCATGATGACTGTTACCCAGATGCTCGTGTTCACATTCTTGCTCATGATGATGATAAAGAGGCTCCGACGTTTGCTTGCTGACGACATGGGTCCCATGGGGCTCCTTGAGGTCCTGGGTGTCTGGCCGAGATATATGAAGACGGGATGCACCAGGCCAATGAGCAGGAAGCGTTATCATCAAAAATACGAGAGGCCTCGTCCGCCGCCCCGTTAAGCTCACTCGGGATCCAGCGGACGATGAGACGGATGTTGCGAGCTAGGAGGTACGCATTGATGCGTCTGATGACTGCCAACATCGAGAACTCTTTTGATCGAGACCGACAGATCGACAGCACGACTCCCATGTTGTCGCGAAGATGCACGTGCCTGATGTCGTGGCCCCACCGCGACTGGGCGAGGCGGCGCACCGAGGCCAGGACTGCGCGGGCTTCCAAAATGGCGATGCCCTCAGCCCTATCCCAGGTCCCGCTGCGGCGGACGGCCCAGCGCCCCTGGTCCAGCCACCCCGCCGGCACTTCCTCGAAACTCTCGTCGATGGCCCAGGCGCCGTCCGATGCCTCCTCGGGCGCCGAGGGGCGCCAAGGACCGGGGCCGTCGTCATCGACGAAGCCCGCATGCCGCGTAGCACGCTGCCGTGGCGCCAGCTCCAGGTCGAGGCGGAAGCGGCTCCGCTCGACCACGCGCCCGACCCGAGCGACTTCCCTGACGTCCACCATGGCGGAGGCAACGCCGAAGCCGCTCTCGGACGCGTCCGACGCCGTGACACAGCGGTTCCAGGGCAGCGCCCAGTCGCTGCTGAGGAAGACGAGGAGGCCCCGGAAGCAGCTGAGCTCCTCGCGGACGGACGCCCACATCACCTGCCGCTCCCAATAGTTGGCCTGCACGAAGGCGCAGCAGGCAGAGAAGACGCAGAGCACCTCTCGTCTCACCAGGCCCGCGTACGTGCAGTGGCCCAGCAGGCACTCCAAATCCTGGCCCGAGAGTCTGCCCCGCTGCAACGCGTAGGCCAGAGCCCTCTCCAGGCGGCAGCGCCGCTTGCTGGTGATGGAGGTACAGAGGCGCTCACAGTCCACGACGACGCCGAGAGCCGACCCCTTCCTCTCGAAGAACTCCACCTCATGGATGTCGAGCTTCATCTTGTTGAAGGCCGCCACCTTCTCGTCCAGCGCCCTCTTGACTGCACTCGCGCCCTGCCCCAGCACGCCCAGGTTGTCCACGCGCACGTAGTGCCAGGTCCTGCTCGCGAGCACCGCCCACTCTGAACACCATGGGCTCGCCGCGGTCGGTCGCGAGCCGAGCCTCCCGCAGCAGGTCGCACTGCCTCGTCAGGTTCGCGCTGGCGTTCTGGCAGAAGTACAAAGACCACGAACATCCCATAGGCAGGGCTCGGCAGCAGGGGTACACCACATCATCGCCGCTTGCCACGCGGCCCTCCACCGTCTCCACTGAGTCCAGGCGGAGCTCGCTAACAGTCAGGGCGGGGAAAGCGAAAAGGGGGCTCATCCAGGGCGGCATCACCATCCTGGGAAAGCAGTTCTCCACGTCGCCAACGCCGAGGCACAGGCGGAGCGCCCGCAGGATGCCCCAGCTCGAGTCCTTCAGCAGGCACGGGTCGCCGTCCACGGCGACCTCGAGGCGCGAGAGGCCCTCCGCCGTCAGCAGGTCCACTCGAGGTGGAGGCAGTAGCCGTTGGTTGGTAGGGCGTGCATCTGTAATCATCCGCATCTTCTGCCCCCCCTTCTTCCAGACGAAAAAAGCTCCGACAAATTCAACAAGCTCCGACGTGCATCGCAGCATGCCACTGGAATGCAGCCTCTTCGTGAATCGAACCAATAGCCGCCTACTCTTTGTGAACGCTGGGTCCAAGTGGGGCCGCACTGGATCGCTCCGTCGGAGGCGTTGAAAATCTGGGACACTTCGTAGCATCCGCTCTCCACAACCCTCCAGAAAACGTCGGCCCTCTGCGTCGAGAAGCCGCCCCAGGCGCGGGGCGTCCTGGGCGCTCTCCGGCAGTGACACGAGCCCGAGCTGGAAGGGAGCTATGTTCGGCTGGCCCGGCTCCTCGTAGGACCCGCGACCTCGGAGCAGCTCTAGGTAGGCCGCTCTCGGCGAAGGCGCGTCAGGCACCGGCTCCTGGGCTCGTACCAGTCCATCGATGCGCGCAGTCACTTCGCTGCGGATGTCCGCGCCATCGCCGCTGCCAACTGCAGGCGAGCCGGCCGCCTTCACCAACCAGTTCAGGGCGTCGATAGCCCTGTTGATCAGTCGGATGCGCAGATAGCGGCCTCGCAGCCCGCGGCTAAGACGACCGCCTCCACACGCTGCATGTGGCTCCTTCAGCCGCGGCAAAGGGAACAGATGGCGTTCTCCGCGAGAGGCTGGAAGGCGCCCAGCACCGGGCCAGGTCAGCTGCGCGCCGAGAGGGGGCCCACTCCCCTCGGCGATCTCCTCGCTCATGATTTCTCGGCGGCCGCGGGGCCCCCGGCCTCGGGCAATCCGCCCCTGCCACGCCCGCGACCGCCGTCGCCACGTCCTCGTCCTCGGCCCCTTGGCCCCTCGCCGCCAGTGCCCTCGAGCGCGTCGTCACCGCCGGCTCCGCCGCCACCTCCAGGGAGGTCGCGGGCCCGCTGGGCCCCCGTCTCTGCGTCGGTCTCCTCCTTCACCCGCCTCGCGCCGTACTGCCGCAGCTCGGGCGCGATGGCATCAGCCGCCGCGGTCACTCCACCGTGGAAGCTGCCCATCTGCCAGCTCGGGGCTCGCCCCGGGATCCTGTGCGCATCTAGGATGGTCTTGAACCGTCGCGCCAACATCTCGGAACTGGCGAGCGCGGGGGCCCTCAGCTGGTCGAAGGAGGGGGCGTAGAACATCATACCCACGAGACAGTTCGGCTCGAGCATCACCTGATCACTCGCGTCCACCTGCTTTGCAAGAGCCCACAGCTGCAGCCACGGACGCGGGTCACCACCCGCCCTCTCGATGTACTTCATCACCTTCAAGTCCGTCGAGGGGCCCTCGAGGGGCCAATGCTGGTCAGGCACGTTGAGGCTCTCCTGCACTGCCCTACGGTATGGCGTGTACCTCACGCCCTGCTCATCGTAGTCGCTCCACCGCGCGCGAGCGCCCTTTGCCACTGGAGGCGGCGCGGCCGTGCCACCGGCGGAGCCCGCACCCTCGGGCGCCTTGGCCGGCGGCCCAGGCGGCGGTCCCAGGGGAGGACCCAGTGGAGCTGCCCCCGCCGGCCTCAGCTGACCCGCCAGCTCCTCTCGGCGGGCTCGCACGAACTCGCCCCCCTCCATGGGGGGGCTGAGCTCGGGCCGGCGGCACTGCCCCCGACGGAGGATCATCGCGTCGTAGTCCGACAGCCTGAGGCCGCCTGGTCCCAGCACCAGCTCGTCGCCGAGGTCGTCAGCGCGGCCGCCCTCCATGAGCACCCACGCGTGGCCACGCGGCATGTCCAGCGGCCCCGCCTGGGGATACGCTGGGCTGGCGTCGTCGCCGACGGCCGCCAGCGCAGGGGCCGCGCCCGCGTCGGAGCCGGCAGCCTCGTCGCCCGGGGGCCCGTCGTCGGCCCCACCCGCCGCCGCCGCTGAGCCGCGGCGGAAGGGGAGGCGGCGAGGCAGGGAGCGCCCGCCGAACAGGAGGCCAGCGGCACCACCTCGCGATTGGGCATCACCACGTCCGCGACCTCGATCGGCGGGTCACCCGCCGCGGCACCGTCCTGCAGGGCCGGGCGGACGGCGGAGGGTCGGCCCTCGCGGGCGTACCCCTTCAGGGCGCCCAGGTCGAGCGCCTGCTTGAACCTATAGGCGGGCTTGTCGAGCCGGGGAAGACGCCCGCATGAGCGCAGGCCGACGATCCGTACGACCCAGCTGGCGTGCGTCTGCGGCCACGGGGCCACCCGCTCGTGGCAAGCGTCGCCCCCATCGTACCGAATCAGCACCTCCTCCCAGCCGAGCTTCGTCAGCGGGCAGGCCGCAGGCTCCGGGCACACGCACGCCGGCGTCCCTGGGCACACGCAGGGCGGTGCTTCCGCGCACGTCTCTGGGCAGCTCGGCGGCCCCAGAGGAGCGGGGCAGGGCTGCCTCCGCGTGCTCAGCGCGAGAAGCCCCGCGGCTATCGGGCCACTGAGGATCTGCGGGAGGTACCCGGGCCGCATGCAGCTCGAGGCCGCAGGTCGAAGAGAAACCACTCAGCCAAAAAGGAGCAGCTACAGAGAAGCTGTTCGGCACCGCGGTGCAATTTCCCAAACAGCGCCAGCACGACGGAGCAGGGACCCCCGCGGGGCGAAGCGCGATTATCCACGCGCCCACGCACCAAGAGGGTTGGGGTCCACGACAGGGCCCGCTATTTTACATCATTCATGCGCACGCACCCCCATAATCATCATCATCGTGATTGTCATCATCGACATCACCATCATGCGGATCAGCATCATCATCAGCAGCACCATCATCATCAGCAGCATCAGCATCATCATCAGCAATGACATCATCGGTATCGTCATCGTCATCGTCATCGTCATCATCATCACCACCAGCATCATCATCAGCTTCATCATCATCATCATCATCATCGACATCAGCATCATCATCATCATCATTATCATCAGCATCAGTATCACCGTCATAGTCATTAACATCATCGTCGCCATCGTCACGCGAGCGCTCTCTCGCATGACTTAAGTTGCACTGCTGCACACTTGGGGCCCTTGGTGAGCCCTCAGCCTCCGAGGCCGCGCTGAAGGGTCCTAAGAGGATCTCGGAACAGCTCCCGAAGAGGGCTCTAGAGGGCCCTCGAGAGCAGTGATGGGTAAGCCACGCGCGCGCTCTCGCGTGACTTCACTCTCACCGCTATGGAAGCCATATGGCTCCCGAATAGGGCCCCAGAGGGCCCTCGAGAGCAGTGATGGGTAAGGCGCGCGCTCTCGCGTGACTTCACTCTCACCGCTATGGAAGCCCTCTGGGAGCGCTCCCACGCCGCGGTAGAGGGGCCCAAGATGGTCTCGAAGAGGCTGCAAAAAGACCCTTCCTGGGTCGTTTTGGAGCCGCGGTGTTGCGCCTGCTGAATGGATCCAAGCAGGGTGGCGAGCAACCTGCATCGAGCCAAAACATCAAGGTGCTCGGTCCACGACGGGTTGCCAAAGAAGCAACCGAGCGCTCGCATGAATGCCGTCTACCCGCCCCGCACCACCATCCGAATCCTCCAACGGATCGCCCTGCCAAGCCCCCCCCGTCCCTCAATACAATTGTAAGGCGACGGGGCCCCATTCGGCAACGTAGCTCTCCGCAGAAGGGAATCCTACCTGATTTGAAGGCAACAGCTGCAAGGCCCAGCCGCTATATACCCCACCGTGCCGCGAAGCACGGGTTGACTTACAGGGCCCCGTGCCTCCCACCTGGCGCGCCTACTGGGAGAGGGCCAGCCCAGTGGGTACTCGCCGCAATTCACACGAGACCTGACCACCCCGTGGGGGGCTGCGATCTGCGAAACCATTGCCATTTTCGAAGTCTTCTGGGGGGCCAGCGCCTTGGGCACTGCGATCTGCGAAAGTGTCTCCGCGCTCGAGGGCTGCTGGGGGTCCAGCGTTGCGGGCGCGCGCCGCAGATCCAAAATAAATCTCGCCACCCCTGGGGTGGTTGCGATCTGCGAAACTGTCGCCACTTTCAAAGGCTGCTGGGAGAGCCAACATAGCGGGCACCTCGAAACGGGTTTTTTCCTTCCTTGGTACTCTCGTCGGCAAAGAAGTCGAAGGACTAGCGACGGGCTCACCTTTGGGCAGTGCGCTGACCAAAATGGCCCTCACGTTTTTGGACATGCAGTATTACTACGCACTGCATGGCCCAGCACTCCCTCCACTCGGCGCCCGAGGTCGCGCACGCCCCCGGTCGTTCAATGGCGCCACCGCCATGATTTTAGAGAAGCGTTACATGGACGATTACATCATGCTGTGGAAGGGGCCGCCGTCTGTCTTCCGGGGAGATCGAGTACATTTCCGTTGTCCCGGAGGGCTCTGCCTGGCTGCGTTACCCGCTCCCCCTGGAAGCCGACACTAGCTTCACGTTTGTGGGGGTTGACCTGTTGCCCCAGCTCGACGGCGCGATCTGCACCCGCCCGTCCACGAAGGCGTTGGGGGCAGGCACGGGTTGCATGCCCTTCTATAGCTACGCCCCCAACTCCATCAAGCGCGGGCTCGTGCTCGGGGCGGTCTCCAGGGCACGTGCTTACACGCGCCCGCTGGACTCCGTGGAGGGCGTCGTTGCGTCCTTCAAGCGTCACCTGCATGAGGGCGCTGGCTACCCATTGCTTGCGCTGGAGAAGTGGATATCCGAGGGATTGTGCCGGGATTAGCGCCCGTACTTTGTGTCGCTGTGGTTCTGGACATAGGTACGTAATTGTTGCCTACTCCGCGCATGCTCTCCCTCTTCGTCTTCTTCTTCTTTCCTCCCCTCCCCCCCCTCCTCCCTGCCCTTTTCCCCTCCCTCCTCCGTTCCCTCCTTCCCGCTCTCCGCTTTCTCTCACGATGTTCTATCGGTGACGAGTGTGCCACGAACTGCCACCAGGTTACTTGGGCATGGATTTTCCTAGGCATTGGCGGATATGTCCGCGGCGCGCTGGTTCGGCGCATTTGGGTTTTCCGGCCTGCGGTGATACAGCCGTCTGCCCGTGCAATAATTGTCACAGGTGACCCCCCCGTGGTTGAAGTCAACCCTTCTCGTTCCCGGGGGGGTGGGTCTTCCGCGGGGGGCTTCGTCGGGATTTTGCACCCCACGGGAAGGGAGAGGGAGGGAACGGGATTCTTCATAGCCTTCAATTCAAATCCCCACGAACCTCGGGCAGTACGTGCGGCCCGGGGGGGGGCGGACCGCTCACCCATCCCACCACCATACGGGGGATGTGAAGACCCTGTGAGCGGGACGGGGCGGGCACAGGGGGGCCACCAAATGGCATCCCGCACCCAAGTCGTGGCCGTCATGGGCCTCTTCTTGGGATGAGGCACCCATCGGCCTCTCGGATGGGCACCACACGCCCGTCCACAACCAAAGGAAGCGCACCATTTGCCTTCCGCATGCCTTTGGCAATTGATTGCAACACTCATGGACCTTTTCATTTGTTACTTCAACCTCTCTCCAGTGTGGGCCGCGAACGGGACTTGATTCCCCTGCCGGCCGTCCAGCGCCCCCACATTGACCTCCTTGAGTTCATGGAACTTGGGAGGGGGAGGGCGGGAGGGGTTGTTTTGGTGCCTTCTTTGCTTTCTGCTGCCCTTTCAGGCTCCCTCCAGGTAATTTGCGACCACTCTGTAGGCCCCGGCGGGCGCAACCGATTCTCGGTCGGCCTACTTGCCATGGCAGGCGGCGGGGAGCAGCAACGTTCTAGGGGAGGTCTTCGTGACGATGTTCGTTATGAGGGCCCACGGGAGCGTCGTAGCAGAAGCCGTAGCCACCATAGGGCACGGACGCGGGACACGGGCACGAGCCACCATAGGGCTCGGGACATGGAGCGGACCCCTGCCCATCATAGGGCCGGCGGCCGCTCCAGGAGCCACCATGGGATTCCAGAAGGCCCGTTGTGCCCGCAATGCGGTATCCGTGGTCATCTTGCTCGTGATTGTCCGTCGGCGGCGAGTCCAGCAACCACGCCAAAATCGCCCTCCGCAGCGCACTTGCCGCTCCTCCTCACGCCGAGGCGGCATCAGCGCCATGATCTCCCGCAACCACCACCTCGCCCACACCCGGTCGATCCGTCCTCTCGTCCGCGCTCTGGCGCTCCGTCCTCGGCACGGCAGGGTGGTCCGCGGGACTCGGCCGCGCGGCCCCGGGCAGCCAGCCCGCGCCCAGAACGTCCGGTCAGTCAGCTCGAGAAGGCCAAGAACAACGTAGACCAGTTGTCTGATGCAGACATTAAGCACCTCGTCTTCGATGACGACCGCGTCGGGGCCAGGATCGTGGGAATTGCGAGCGGCCTCCCTCCGAACTTTCACCCCGGCCTGCCCTTCGGCTCGGAGGAGTTCATGGAAGCCCGCAAAAAGTGCAATGCTGAAATGCTTCGTCGTTGCACGGCCCTCTGCACGGCGAAAGCGAGGAAGGACATTAGCCAGAACACCGAGGACTTCTGCCCTTGCATCATGAGGTCGCAGGCCCGCAGGAATCTGCAGAAGCTTATCCCCTACGTGCCCTTGGATTCTTATACTTTCAACTTCTCGACATTCCTCCTTTGGATTCAAGCCAATAGCCCGTGCCAGCGGGCGGAATACGGGGCCCAGGACGAGTCGCCCCTGGCGATGATGCGCAGGGTGGCCGCTACCATCGCCGACCCTGGTCAAGCCCATGTGGAGGTTGACGCGGCGATCCCGGAATTCAAACCGGCTTCATCCAGGGCGATATTGGCCCTCGCCCCAAGCACCGGGGTCTCCAGCGAGCAGGCCCTCAAGTTCACGCTCGATGACCTCAACGCGTTCCAGGTACAACGTCTACACCAAAGCAGAGAGTGGGCGCTCGATGAAAAAATCCCGGGTGAAGACGACCCACCGGCATTGCGTAATAAGTTCCAGGCGCACCGGAAGGCTTTGGACGCGATCACCGGCCAGAAGGGCAAGGGCAAGGGAGGTAAGAAGAAGGTGCCGGCTAATGCGCTGAAAGTGTTCAAAGAGAAGGTCGACCAATTGGGCTTGAAGTTTGACGACACCAAAGCCGGAGATATCGCGCAACTTCTGGCCGCCGTCAAGGCGCGAGCAGCCGACCACGAGATTTGACTACAGGCCCGAATGCGGGCCCAAGGGGACGGCGCATGTGGTGGGATTTGGGATACGCATGTCGACGGGATGCCGCGTGTTTCGCGTTGCTCTGCTATCCGGTTTTGCCTCCTATCCACACTGGCATTGGTCCGCCGTGCTCTAGAGCAGCACTATGCTGCCCAAGTTTTGGATTGGAAGTGCATATTTGCCCTTCATTCAATCACCCTCTCTATCACGTCCGACTTCCTCATGGCCTCCACCACCCAGTACTTCAGCAAACTCCGTTATTTGGCATCTTCCCTGCCGGGGTCCACGTGGCCGCCCTCCGACTACCTTCTGGAGTCTGGGTTCGTGGTCTACCTTATTTGGAGTCCGTTTCAAAAGTTCTTCTACATAGGTAAAACAATAGACTTTCCGGCGAG